TCCCCCTTCTAGGAGCTGATCTCCCCCTTCATTCCCAGAGCTCATCTCCCCTTTTCCTCAGACTTTAATATTCTCTTTCAAACCCGTAATAGTCTTCCCACCACCCCCATTTCTTCTCCCTGCTATGATTAGCAGCAGGAAAGGGAATACAGGGTTGGGTCCTTCATTCCAGAAGTGAAAAGCAAATGGGGTTTAGGTGACCAAGTGGTCCTCTCATACGATTGAGTTTGCAGCAGCCAGGATCCCGAGGTGCTGGGGGGTTTTGCAGTCAGCATTGGGGAGCACCGGTGGCTTCTCCGTGTATTTTTGGGAGAGCTTTAAATATGTGTATTTGCGCAGTCTCTTTCCAGCTGGGTGGATAGTAATTGCATAGAGCAGCTTGGAATATCTTCCACTCCCTCCATAACTAAGGGGAGAGCCAGCCACACTCTTTCTGTTTGTTTGTTTTCCATTTAAATGCTCTAACCCTAGTCTGTAACCCTTTCCCGTTTCCTGTCTCTGCTAGCCACGTTGTTCCTCTTGATGTTGGATGTGGATCCAATTGTTGGTTGGCTTTTTAAAAAATGCACATCTCCCTGATTTCTTACATTTGTTACCCAGAATAACTTCTAACACCCACCCCCTCCAATTGTGCCCTGACTTCCTCCTGCTGGGAGATTTGCATCTGCCTTGCACATGCTGGGCTGCGTTTCCCCTGGCTCCAAATCAGCTTTGATGTCTAGAGGAGATACCTATATTTCTGGATGGGGGGGAAACCAAACAGTCGTAATAATAACAATAATATAGAATAAAAAAGCTGCCACGTCTGTTGAATCAAAGGCTGCTGTTTTAGCTATGCCAGAGGGGATTAATCTTGTTTATGAAATGGTTTGTGGATTCATTTTTGAGCTCCTGCAGTTCATGTAATTTAGGGATTTGAGTCTAATTTTTCAACATATCATGTTGCTGCTTCTCCAGTACCTCTTTTTTCTCCCTGTATTGCTCATTTAGAGAAGCGATTTTTGCGCAGGCTAGTTTCCTTTTACTCCCACCCCTTTTTCCCTGGGGACTGAGCTTTCCCAATGAATATTTTTTTTTGGGGGGGGGGGGCGTCCTTGCTACGATGCAGGCGTTTTATCTTGCTTACCTGGGTGATGTACATATGTAGTAATATGCTGCAGTTTAAAGAGGAATTTGCAGTACTACAGCAGCTTCTTTAAATCACAAATTTTGTCCTTGCATCTTGTAACTGACAATTTAATTTTTTAAAAATATTTTTTTATTTACAGGCAACAAAACCAAAGAAAGCAACATCTGATCCTTCATTTCTACTCCCGTTTGGGATTTTATTTGCATCATCTTTGAGCCTATTGATTTAAAAAAAAAAAAAAAAAAAGGCAAACCAAACCCACACAAAACATGTTGTGCGGAAGGACTTCCACTCCCTGACTGTGCTATTAATGTTAATAATCAGGAAAAGCCTTTGGGGGCTACATGATCTCTCGTCTGAAGCTTGCTGCTGCTGCTAAGGGTTTTGGTGCAGGGAAACAAAACTGCCTTTTCCGCCCGCTGATTTCCTAACATCTGCATGTTTCTGCTGCCGCACTCCGTCTCACACCCTCTTCCCATGGACTGATTTTTTTGTTATTGAGGGGTGGAAGGACAAGAAACCAGGGCATTTCTTTGGGAGAAACAAAATTGCATTTATTTGTTGCATTCTGGTGGATCTGTTCTGAGGTTAATATTTTTGGAAAGGAAAAACATGACGTCGCCAGCTAAATTCAAAAAGGATAAGGAGATCATAGCTGAATATGACACTCAGGTCAAAGGTAGGAATAATTTTACATCTGTCTATATTGTTACAGTTTTGACTTGCTAATGCAGGCGTTTGCACTAGATATTTGGGTGGGGACTGGGAGAAGAATTTGCAGTGCAATCTTGTAAGGGATTTGCAGTAATTTTCTTTTTCTCTTAAGGGTGGACTCCTGGGTATGTCCATGTTGTTTTAGTGCATCCTAATGAGAGGAATTTTTTTCTGTATATGAAAACCCTTGAGTTTATGGAGTTGGGTTTGTTTTTCTGGATGTTTTAAAATATGGTTTGATTTGAAATGTGATCGGCAGTGAATAGCTTTTCAATTTTTTTCCCTTAGGGAATCTTTAAAAACCTCTGTAGAAGCAGAAGAAGGTATATCACTTGCCAGTATTGTGGACCCTTGTTCACATCAACGCTTCATAGCTGTCTGTGCCAAAAAGCTATAATATTCAGGCTTCTACTCTCCACAAGTTCACACTTCATGCAGCTCTGGCTTTAACACCCTACATTTGCTGTGCATATATGGACCACTGTTCTGAATGTAATTGGCATTTGCAATGACAATAACTTTATATATTCCAAAGGAGTGTGTTTTGCTGCAAATGAGCTTAAGGCTTGATCAGGACATCACATGCCCTCAGTGATAAAGAAGGTGGTGAATGTTTGTAAAGCTTTTTCAAGATAATTTTTGTGGAAAATATTCTTTGTGCTTGTGACTTAGCAAATTGTTGCTGGTGGGAAATCAACTGCATTTAGCTTGTTGTCTAAAACTTGTTTGGTACATTGATAGTGTGTGTGCGTAGGGGAGGGGGAGATGGCCTTGGGGTTGAGGCAGAGCACTGGAAGTTGGAGATCTGGATATAGTTAGACTTGTGTTACTTGGCGCAAGTCACTTAGTCTCTGTGTAAAATAGTGACGTGTGAGCTGCTCCTCAAAGGAGTGCTATGAAGCTTAATTCATTAGTGTAATGATTTAATGCTTTGAGATCCTTGGGTGGGAGGCAAGAGAACTGCAAGGTATCTTATATATGTATATTTTTAATTTCCCCTCTACCTCCTCTTATTTAATGAACCATAATGTTAACTTGACAAGCTAGTCAATCTAGTGGAATGTCAATAGCCAGCTGGAGGTGCTGCTTCAAAAAGATGGACTCTGTCCTGTGCTCTAGTGGCTGGAAGTGAGATGTAGGTGGTTCGTAAAACTTAGTAAATTAAAATATGCATGGAGATGTGATTCCCGCCCCTTGTTTCAAAATGGGTCGGGGGAGGGTTCCCTCCTCCAGCTTTCTGAAACAATGCACAAGGCACTTTCTTAACCTAGAGCTCTTGAATATTGTAGCTCAGATCTATTGAATGATTGGTCTGAGAAGGATTTAGAGTAGTAATAATAAAAAAAGCTTAAGGTTTATTTAGCCAGCCTGCCATCATATACTCTTTTGGCTGTGATCTCATCAGCTCTTGCACCTGAAATTGGATCAGCTGTGGTCAGTACTGGAATGGAAGCTCTGTAAGAAAATGCCAAGGAGCAGTAGGAAGTACTATTGCTGGTTCAGGAAATGGCATTGTCTCTCTATAGAACCAGGGCTCCAGCACAGTGATAAGGGGCACTGAACTGTTTGAGACTAAAATCCAAGGTTCTGAGCATTTTGTAGTTATTAAAAATACAGTTGTCCTAGTGTAGCAATAACTCATGTTAATTGTGGTGTCTTGGTCAATTTCCAAATCTAGTTAATTACATGGTGCCTCTAAATTGCCCCAGTAGTTACATATGGAGGTTGATCTTCTTGTTTACTCTCCTTCTGTTAAGTAGTGTTGCTAAAGGTATTTTATCCCTGAGGTGGCTGCAGCAGTGGTAGTTGAAATGAATCACATTCGTCATACTTGGATGCTGTATAAACTGCAAGGTATTGTCTGTCTTGCTCTGATATGAGAAAATTCCTGTATCTTTGCTGGCATTTGAAAGCTTAACACATTTTTAGCTGCATTCCACACTGGGATGATGTAAGGCAGCTGTGTTTTGAGACATCACTTAAAATCCTTAATCCACAAACAATGAGCTTGTGTGCATGTTCTCTAACCTAAAAGTTGCTGCTAATCCCTAAATTTGGTTTGAAAAATTCATTATCTATTTGGAGTTGGTTAACAAAAGACAATATTAAGAAGGGCATCAGTTGGTGATTTAATAAGGTCATAATTATAGCCCTATGGTTGAGCTACTGA